ACAAACACCTCAGCCGTGGCAGATCACTGTTACAACTCAGTGGGCTCACATGATATTGACTTCTCCAAGACAGAGGTTCTCTGCAAGCCATCTGGCTATCATGAGAGATTCGTTCATGAGGCGATCCACATATACAAACACAGAGACAATTTTAACCGAGAAGATGGATTCTGGCTCAGCAATCATTGGAAGGACGTAATAAACCATTTCGACACACATTAGGGTGTGTAGAATAATACATAGTGTTATATTAAATGTATAAGATATAGGTTGGTTTACAGCAATACAGTATATAATTTAATGTTGGGTTTATCTATGGCAGTATATAGTACGGTATATGCTCGTGTGATGTAAGAGAATAAGGTCTAGATGGAAGCATATTATAGAATTTTTACGAGGTAGAATGGTAATGTATTACTTGCTGTTAGTAACTCAGCTTATTATAGAGTATAGTAAGTATACTGATGGTGCGATGCAGTTTATACTTTAGTTTTTTATGTAGTTTATACTTTAGTTTTCTACGTGGTTGTTGAGTAACTGCAGCTACATATCATTAACATTCTTTCCCTTTGTTACTGCTAATCCCTGCACCCCCCTTGGTTGCTGCTGATCCTGCATAATGCATGGGCATAATATGACTTTGACACCCCCCCGCCCAACGCCTACGCATTTTCCATGAATATGCTAAATTCCTCTTCACATGCACATTCTTTTTGTTAAGGCGCTCTTCAACCCCCAATGCAGCTTATATATAAGCTCCTAGTTTGGTAGTGTCTCATTCTTCACCTGAAGACGGCTGCTTGCGTTGTAGCCGAAACGTCGTGAGAATTGTTTTATTATGTTTTATTTTTATTATTTTATTACTTCCCTTCTACGTGACTTTACCGAAAGAAACAAGAAGATGAATCCCTGCAGTCACGAAAGCTTTAAATCGAAATTTAACCGCCTCTACGGGGAGGGTTTCCACATAACTTTGAGATCCTTCAACAAGCTCCGGGATAAGAAGGCTCAGCTAATCGAGTCTCTCACCTTTCTGAAGAGATGCCGCGACTCTAAGGTAATACCAAACGCATTTACACTAACATCTGCTGCTGTAACTTCTTCTAATGCGAAACGAATTCTGTCTAGAACTAGCTTAGCTCTTATCTCAGAGAAAATCAGACTTACGCGCACCGAACTAGATCAGTTAGACAAGACACTCTACAAATCACACTTATCTTTGAGTGTAACAATGTCCACATCGGATTGGGAACATGTGGAAAAAATGACTGCCTCTTCAGCTGCCGCTATGTCGACTAAATGTAAGGACAACTTGATTTCCAAATTCAATCGCCTCTCAAACAAGAAACCGGACCCACACATTGAAAAGCTAGATATTAACAAAGTCGTAATTAATCGCAGTAACAGTCCTATTTCTGAAGGTTTGAAATCCGTTTTAGCTAAAGGACTAAACTTTGCAGTCACACCTAGACACATACCAGTTAATGATATAATTGCTCGAGTAGATGTAGCTCTCAAGGGCTTGAGTCACATCGCTGCAGACGTAGCAAGATCTGAAATCTCTGTAACCCTCAAAAACGCTAAGATGCCAGCTAGCAACATCAGCAAAGAGGAGCGTTTTGAATTAGCTCAATTAAAAAAGAGGGATGACATTGTCATCCTCTCAGCCGACAAAGGCAATGCCACTGTCATCATGGACAAAATAGAATACAACAACAAAATTCAAGAACTATTAAACGATGGCAGCTATACAAAAATAAAAAGAGACCCCACCAACAGCCTCGTCTCCAAAACCAACAACATCATTTCTGCTTCAACCGCATTAATTGATCAGACCAAACAGTTCTCGTTGAAACCTTCTGCAGCCAGACCACCAAGATTGTACGGCTTGCCAAAGATACATAAAGAAGATACACCTCTTCGTCCCATTGTCTCTACTATCAACTCCCCCACTTACAAACTGGCTCGTTTTTTGTCCGAAATCCTACGGCCTTTCACTGGAAAAACCACCTCTGCAGTACTAAACTCTACTGACCTGGTATCGACAATCAAGGGGATTGCCCTGTCCCCAGACGACCTGCTTGTCAGTTTTGATGTGGTTTCCTTGTTCACCAAGGTACCTGTGCCTGACACCATCGCAATCATTGAAGACTTGGTTCATCAAGGACTGAATGCTGGGGTACCCCCCCTGGTGAGACACTGCTTAACCAATACATACTTCACCTGGAATGGAACCTTCTACAAGCAAATTGAGGGCACCCCAATGGGCTCCCCCCTATCTCCGGTTGTAGCCAACATCTTCATGGAGAAATTTGAGACGGACGCTATCCAGACTGCCACTCTACGCCCGACCTTATGGAAGAGGTACGTAGACGACACTTTTGTCATCTGGCCACATGGCCGGCCTGCTCTAGACCAATTTCTCGACCACATCAATTCCATACACCCAGCCATCAGATTCACCATGGAAGTCGAAAATGATGGCAAGCTACCCTTTTTGGATGTCCTAATCAAAAGGAGACCTGATGGTTCAATGAGCCACTCTGTCTACAGGAAAGCCACCCACACGGATGCTTATCTAAAACCGGATTCCCACCACCATCCATCCCAGAAGAATTCCCTCATCAAGACTCTATATCATAGAGCCCAATGCATCTCCGACCATGAACACATTTCCAGTGAACTCAAACACGTACGCCAAGCTCTTAAGGCAAATGGTTACTCCGACTATACAATCCGCAAAGCCATCACTCCAACCATCAAGAAGGATCCTGTTGAGGAGCCTTTCAAGACCATCACCTTACCCTACATTGCTGGGGTCACAAAAAGATCTCCAAAATCCTGATTAAACACAAGATCCAGGTCCGATTCAACACAGTACATAAAATCCGTGATCTGGTACCGTCTGTAAAAGATGTGGTTCCAGACATACAGTACCCTGGCGTCTACAAACTAAGTTGCCTCTGTGGTAGCAGTTACATTGGGGAAACCAAACGACATGTCTCGGACCGCATCCGTGAACATAAAGCTGACCTGAAACACGGTAGGACAAACACCTCAGCCGTGGCAGATCACTGTTACAACTCAGTGGGCTCACATGATATTGACTTCTCCAAGACAGAGGTTCTCTGCAAGCCATCTGGCTATCATGAGAGATTCGTTCATGAGGCGATCCACATATACAAACACAGAGACAATTTTAACCGAGAAGATGGATTCTGGCTCAGCAATCATTGGAAGGACGTAATAAACCATTTCGACACACATTAGGGTGTGTAGAATAATACATAGTGTTATATTAAATGTATAAGATATAGGTTGGTTTACAGCAATACAGTATATAATTTAATGTTGGGTTTATCTATGGCAGTATATAGTACGGTATATGCTCGTGTGATGTAAGAGAATAAGGTCTAGATGGAAGCATATTATAGAATTTTTACGAGGTAGAATGGTAATGTATTACTTGCTGTTAGTAACTCAGCTTATTATAGAGTATAGTAAGTATACTGATGGTGCGATGCAGTTTATACTTTAGTTTTTTATGTAGTTTATACTTTAGTTTTCTACGTGGTTGTTGAGTAACTGCAGCTACATATCATTAACATTCCTTCCCTTTGTTACTGCTAATCCCTGCACCCCCCTTGGTTGCTGCTGATCCTGCATAATGCATGGGCATAATATGACTTTGACACCCCCCCGCCCAACGCCTACGCATTTTCCATGAATATGCTAAATTCCTCTTCACATGCACATTCTTTTTGTTAAGGCGCTCTTCAACCCCCAATGCAGCTTATATATAAGCTCCTAGTTTGGTAGTGTCTCATTCTTCACCTGAAGACGGCTGCTTGCGTTGTAGCCGAAACGTCGTGAGAATTGTTTTATTATGTTTTATTTTTATTATTTTATTACTTCCCTTCTACGTGACTTTACCGAAAGAAACAAGAAGAGCTCTTTGACGGTATAGTGTTTTTACTTCGTAGATACGTGCCTGGGCGGCATGTCCCAAACTCTCAAACGTGATATGAGAGAAACAGATATCATAGGCAGCAGTCTGGTGCACCCCAGTCAGTGCAAGAAGCAATAAAAACAGGCGAGGCATTCTATGCCTTCACCCCCATTGTGATGTAGCTAAACAATCGGGATGCTTACACCTTAATTTCCACGTATTTTGCATTATCTGTGTTTTTGTTTTATCCGAGCAATGCCTCCTGGGCATTACCCTGGATAATCGAGAGTGGACTGTGCCATCGTACTTGTGTACGCAAACGTTTGCGTGCGCCGGTGCTTTGTGTGGGTGTCTGCGTGCTGTTAGCGTGCGTGTGTGAGTTGACTTCAATAGCGGTGGTGTAGCATGCTTCGCTACGAACCTGGCGATTTCAGCTCACATACAACACCAGGAACGATTATTTGAACAGGTCCTGGGCCTCCCCTAGGTCGACTCAGCCTCAAATGAGTACCTAGTGCGGTGCGTAAACATCGCCATGAGGGAGACAAAGGCGGCCGGGCGTAGTTTTGGCCACCCACCCCCTCGTGTGCTGTGCCGGCCTTCATAGGTGCTCGCTAACAGCACTTGCCCCTACAGTCTGTTACAGGCTACATGGGGGATCTTTTTCTTTATTGACTTTAGCGAGCACATGTGCATGTGTGTGTAGATGCGTGTGTGTGACTAACGTGGAGAGCGGTGACACAGTGGTTAGCACGCTGTGCTACGAACTCGGCGAGCCAAGTTCAATTCCCACTCGTGGCCAACACCAGTGACGATTGTCTGAACCTCCTAGGATGACTCAGCCTCAAATGAGTAACTGGTGCGATGTGTAAACATCACCACTGGGGAGACAAAGGCGGCAAGCCGTGGTTCTGGCCATCCACATCCTCGTCTGCCGTGTCAGCCTTCATCGGTGCTCACTCACAGCACTTACCCCAACATCCCGTTAAAGCTATATGGGGGAATCTTTGTCTTTGTGGCTAACGTGAGCGAGTGTGTGTGTGTGAGCCAGCCGAAGTGGTGAGGACGGAGCTCACTCTCACGGTAGTGCTGCTGGGCATCACGGGGGAGAAGCAGGATGAGCTGATCAGCTACAGCAACGCGCGGAGCCACAACTACACGGTGATCTGCAATAAGGTGCGGCGTCTGGAGGAGCGCTCGCATCCCAGCGCTGCATCTTGGCAGGGGCGCTCGGGGGGTTAGCGCAGCGCGCTCGTGCCTCACAGCAACAAGGACCTGGATTCGATTCCCGACTTGGGTGCATTTCTGCGTGGAGTTTGTATGTTTTCCCCGTGTTCTGCATAGGTTTCATCCAGATTCCCTATAAACTAAAAAAAGCATACAATCTAACTAGTATTGGCCAAAACATCCCAATGCAAAAAAAAATGTCTTGCAAATTACAGGCAATTGAGATTGTACAGAGCAACATGGCTCCCTGCTGCAAAAACTTGCTAGGTCCATGCTGAAAAAGTGCATTGAGACTCAAACACTTTCCTGGGTAAACAAGTGCAAAATAGTAATAATTATGATTATTATTTCTTACGGTTTCTCTCTTTACATTCAGGTGCCGACGTGCAACGAGCTGGTGGTGCTCCACCTGGGGTCGATGGCCTACGGCCACTACTCCGCGCGTCTCCGCCTCCACGGGCTGGGTGACCTCGCCATCCCCGTGCGCCAGATCTACTTCACTGTGAGCGCACCGCCCGCCCCGCATGCACCGCACACATGCGTTTGGTGTTCTGATGTGGTGGGGGAGGGGGGGGGCAGTAGGGTATCGGTGGTAAGCGCCGCGCTGCGCTACGAACTCGACGATTTTGTGCTTCACGGCCAACACAAGTAACGATTATCTGAATCGGTCCTAGGCCTCTCCTATGTCGACTCAGTCTGAAATGAGTACTGTACCTGGTGCAGCGATTTGTTAACATTGCCACTGGGGAGACAAAGGTGGCCGGGCGTAGTGTTGGCCACCCACCCCGTCGTGTGCCGTGCCGGTTACTCGCTAACAGCACTTGCCTCAGCAGTCTGTCAAGGCTATACGGGGGATCTTGGTGTTCTGAGAAGTGCTGTTGCGGCATGCCGACCGCCTTGTGCCGGCACTTGTCCACCACCGGTTGTATGCCTCCATCAGAGCAGCACAGAGAGACGGAGAGAGATATTTACCAAAATTGTCACCGATTCAAACTGGATATCACCGTAATTGTTGCAAAAAATACCTAGGAGTTAATTAAAAATAAATAAATAACTTGCTGTGTTTGCCGGGTAAGGCTCACTGAGCTATGTAGCTCTTTTTCAGAAGCGACCTGGCCACAAATGATAGTTCAACGAAGTGGCTTATCCCGTGTAAATATACAGCAGCCAAATACTCTGAACGCATGTTGATTCTAAATCTGGAGGGAAAAACCGGAGGACCCGGAAAAAAAATCCACGCAACCACGGGGAGAACACGCAAATTCCAGATATACAAGAGTTAGGGTTGGAGCTACTCCCCGTATCCCGTGACTTAATTTTATACGGGTTGTGGTCACATTAAGCCTATCATTCTGAAACGATCCGCATACGATATCTACTCGTCACTGCAAGCATCTTAGCCGCACTAATCGGGAATTAGAAGGGATCATTTTTCGACCTGGCAAAAACGCCGTCTTTATAATTTTCATTGCGGATCAATCACTTCTGCGCCTGCAAGGACACCTTGTATTGACAGAAGTCACTGTTGAGTTTTTTAAAATATGGCTGCCTGCCAAAGGTGTTTCCAAGTCCCCATTTGGCCTCGGTAAGGAAGAGGTTCCCAGCCCTTCACTTCGAGGAGCGATAGGCAATGACCCAGCAATGCGATATTACTTTCACCCACTTGTTGTACTGCCATGCCCTGGCTACTCTATCACTGAGTGAGTTGGAAATCTCATAGCTCATGATGGAAACTTCGGCCCCCTCCAATACCCTCTAACCAAACGGATTACAGGCGCATGCCACTTGCCTAGCTAATAAATATATCGAGTCCTTGGGATTTATGATATCCTTCATCGAAAAAGGTTTGATTATATTGGTTATTTGTACACTATACCTTTGTTTACTTTGGTCAATAAAAGGACTGCACTGCTGCACCGCAAAAAGGACGGTGATTGCCATGTGCTCATTACTGTATGGACTGTGAGTACAGTTGCCTCCGATGTATTGGCTTGTAAATAATTTAAAATGCCCCGGAGCCAGCTGTAATTTACAGGGAGCCAGGCGGCGGCGCTTTGCTGCAGCAGATTGAGCGAGGCTCACGACACCTCGGAGGCAGCAGCGCTGACAGCGAGTGGGCTGGCTGACATCACCCCCAACGCGCTGACGAGCGAGACACTCGTGTGCGCTTGCGCTTAGCCCTGGAATGGCGCCTTCTGCCAGCAAGAGTCTCCCCGTGACATTGTACCAGGGTTTGCCGTCTGTGAGAGCAAAATGCACAGCTCACGAAAAATATTTTAAACAGTTGGCAAAAAAACCCATCGTGGGCCTCATCCCTACAGAGTTGGGCTCTGCTCATTTGTAGAATTCCCGAGTTATGCGGACCGCCCTAATGTGCATGCTGGCTTTTAGCACTGTTCACTGTGCAGAAAGGTTGGGGCCCTATTTAGCAAACAATCCCACGGGGAGAATCTGAGAATGTATGTATGTGTGTTGAACTTCTTTCGCACCGTACCTAGCCAACCATGCTCATCGGAGGTGCTGTACTAGTGACGAATTGGCATGTTCTGTTTACGTGACAACCCTTATTAGTTGGCTGTGTTGGGTGGTGGCGGGTTTTAACGACACATTTATATATTTACACCATCTAACCCAGAAAACCTCTATTAAGGATGACAAACTAAACACAAAAGTTCTAAAGAAATGAAGGAATCTCGGAGTAGGAGAGTGGTGACGTCATCACGCTCGCTCAGCGGACACCCCGAGCTGACCAATCGGGCTCGCTCTGCCTCGTGCACACAAGCGCACGCACGTGCCGGTGCGCAAGCGAAGCGCTGACGCCCACACCGTGGCGCACCTTTTTGTGCCGAGCCATCTTTGAGTACAAAGATGGCTCGGCCCAGACCCTGACGCCTGTATATTTCGCGTTTTCACGTTCTCCCATTGGTCACATTGATTTTTCTCCAGGTCCTCCGGTTTTTCTCTCCACATTTAGAAATGTGCGTTTCGAGTATTTGGCTGCTATAAATTTCCACATGATAAGCCACTTTGTTGAGCTATCATTTGTGGGCAGGTCGCTTCTGAACGAGCTACATAGCTCAGGGGGCCTTACCTGGTAAAATAAAAACAATTTAGTTTTCGATGATGAACATGATGATGAATAAGATAACGATAGCAATAGTGATAAATAAAGATGATAATGCAGATGTTGATGAGGAGTGGTGTTAGGGATGATGGTGAATGAAGGTGATGGTGGTGGTGGTGGTGATGAATCGATCGTGCGTTGTGCTCAAATTTCCCGTCGTGCGTTGCGCTGTGCTCTAGTTCATGACGTACAACAAGACGTTCACGCTCATCGAGGTGTGGTTCCGCTTCTTCTTCGTGCTGCTGAGCTTCATCATCATGGTACGCCCGGCGCTCGTTCGGGGGTGGCGCACGTTCGCGCCCTCCCCATCTACGCGGCGGACACTTTGAACTCTCGACATGTGTTTTGCGGACCGCCGGGCCGTGCCGGGCATTGCCAGGTCTGCTGTTTTGGAAACAGAAATCGTTCCTGCGACAGCTCCGCCAACCTCACGTTCGCAGTGCTCTTCACTAATTTTTAGAGGGGGCCACTTTCGCCGATAAGACATCATCAGTGTGAGTGCCGCCACACATTTGAAACCATTGGGGGTTTGAAAGCACAATGATGGTGGGGGTGTTTTCAAATTTGTGTATTGTCGGAGGGCTGCACATCAGGGGCCGCTAGTGGCCCACGGGCCTTGGAATACAGAACACTGGAGTATAGCGTACAATAATATAGGGTTGTTATGGATAGGCGTACCTCGTTCCCAAGTGGTAGTGCCTTATGCCAATAATCCCTACTCCAAGCCAGCCTAGCAGCGTTCCACCAAATACGTCTGATTAGTTCGTTGTCCTTCCACCCCCATCTCCGATTCGCACGGTTGGCTACGTACGGCGTGAAAGAAGTTCAATATACAAACAAATATAGAATATTTAGTACAAATTTTGACCCCGTCGTTTTGTCAAGGGACTGGATTGACCGGCACACGGAAAACTCGCTGACTTACCATCAACTTTCGGGTTACTCAGGGTAATTGTGGAGGGGTAACCCAGATAAAAACAAAACCACACAAACAAATCCAGAGCATATGTAAATGTATGTATGTATATTGAACTTCTTTCGCACATTACGTAGCCAACCTTGCTAATCGAAGGCTTTGAAACAGAATCGTTCATTGCAGGTGTGGAATGGGAGTGATGAAGTAGGGCGCATTGTCCTTTGTTATTGCTTTGTTTCAAAGAATTGGTGTTTACTTGGGTCACTTGGACACCTCTTCACTGACCGTCAATGAGTACAGAGCAGCTTATAAAGTTACTTATTCATTTTATTCGCAAACACAGTTAAATCCACAACCCCAACAATGAATCCACGGGTAAATCAAAAATGTATTGTTATCCCACTTTGTGTATGGCTCACACAGATAGAGTTCCAGCTTGATTCGGTCTTCTTCTTGGGCTGTTTTTATATATAGTATAAATTGATTATCTTTCATTTAATTTTATTTTTATTTTTTTGTTTTGTTTAATTTTACATTTATGAATGATGCCCTGACTGGTGAGCATTTTAAATTTCGTTGTACTGGTGACAATGACAATAAACGATCTATCTATCTATCTATTCCTGCGCCCCACTTCCCACTATCGTTGCACAAGTCGGAACCTCTGTTGTAATGGAAACAATTTCCGTAATTTATTTAGCAATGAAAACTCGAGCGTTAGGACTCTTTGTACCTTAGTTTTGCAATGTAGTGTTCATTCTTGTGCAGCCATTTGTTTGTAATGAGTATTTTGTGTGCGAGAGGAAACCAGAGTACTGCCGCAAGGCTTACGAGACAATACCACTTAACAGTCCACGCAAACGAGAGAGACGCATGCTTGTTTTATGACCATCTCCCAACCCCGTACATCTCTGCCAGTTGGAAGTCACCTATTGAGCCCCTTAATCCTACGTATGAAGCGATGGTTTATGTGGGCGTGCGACGCCGCTCCCCCCACGTTACGGCACTGTGCCTCGGTGTGCGCGTCTCGCCGGGTAATAGGGCGATGTGTCTTCCGCTTCCTCTACTCCCAATTGGCCGTTGCTTAATGAGAGGTCGCTTCTGCTTTTGCTGCCTTCATTGCAATTCTCTCCCTTCTGCTTGACTGTGCTTGCAACAACTCAACATAGCTGGACTGCTCTCAGTTTAACACGTGGGCTTGAAGACCCAAACAGGAGGATTTCTACACAACTCTGGCTGTCGCCTGATGATGCTCGTTATAATACCGGGCGAAACGTCGTACTCGAATTGTAAATGTTGTGCATTTAATCTCCAACACATCGGTGTGCTGTATGAGTAACGAATTGGCACGCTTTGTTCACGTGACAAACCTTACTCATTGGCTGTGTCGGGTGGTAGCAGGTTTAAAGACACATTTATATTTACGCGATCTAACCCAAAAAAACTCGTATGTCTACTGCTCTCGTTGACTCTCTCAATGAGACGTGTTCATTTCGCTTATACTGTGGTTGCCACGTAAGATTTTGCAGCCAATATTATGATTCATCGTTGAATATTATTAGTCTAAATCCATGTTGTTAAGGCCCTCCAACCGCCTGAGACAGCCAAATAAATGTATTTGTCATGTGTATGAGCGTTTAGCGCACCAAGTTATTGTTTCAGCTCACTCACCAGTGAGTAAAAAAGATAAAACGTTCCACTTCAAACAACGTCAAACGGCATCAGTGTATGTATGTATGTTGAACTTGAACTTCTTTCGCACCGTACGTAGCCAACCGTGCTTAAAGGAGGTGCGGGTGGAAGGACAACAAACTAAACAAAAAAAGCAGTTCTAAATAAATGTGTTTTTAATCTAGATATAATTTAAGTGCATAGCTCCAGTGGCTTCCTAATCTCGGAAGGAAGAGCGTTTCAGACTGCTGCAGCTGCGCATAATGTGAAGAATAAAATAACGTGCAGTAATACACCAGTTTACGTCGGGGATGTGTTCCCAAAAGGTGCGACGACGAATATTGAAACTACGTCAATCAAAGCGATCCACAGGGTAGTAGTTGGTGGAGGCAAAGGACGTACGACGATGCTGTCAGTGACGTAAGCGTGTGGGGCTCAGGCGACGCAAATCCAGGTAGCGGCGTTAATAATCAAATTACGACGTATTTGCCAAAACGACGTAAAAAGGGGTAGACGTAAAGTTGGGTATTACTATGTAATAATAATAATACTGTACTGAGGTCACCGATTGTGTAACAGGGTGTTGTGCCCTTGGTGGGACGCTGCGTCTGCTGCGATGTGCCTTGCAGTGCGTGTACGGCTGGCTCATGCTGAAGGTGCCGCTGCTGGAGTGGACCATGGAACAGAAGTGGACGACCGCCCTGCTGCCTATGCTCGTCCTCTACAACGGTGAGGCTGGGCCTGGGCTGCCACCTCCTGGCCCACGGTAGCATTGGAGACAAATTGCTTCAGTTGGGATCGCACGGCAGTCATCGGCTCCCCTCCTGGCAACACCGGTGCCCGATTTAAAGCCAAGTGCCGAGTCACGTGATTGAGCCACGAGGGACTAGCTGCCGCTGGGGGTGCCTTTTCAAATATTTGAGGTGAGATGCGTGTACTGTATTTTGGGGGAGCGGTGGTGTAGCGGTTAGCACGCTGCGCTACGAACCCGGCGAGCCGAGTTCGATACCGCTCACGGCCAACACCAGTGACAATTATCTGAACTGGTCCCGGGCCTCCCCTAGGTCGACTCAGCCTCAAATTAGTACCTGGTGCAGTGTGTAAGCATGTCCTCTGGGGAGATAAAGGTGGTCAGGCGTGGTGCTGGCGACCCACCCCCTCATATCCCGTGCCGGCCTTCATAGGTGGTCACTAACAGCACTTGCCCCAACAGTCTGTTAAGGCTTTACGGGAGATCTTTGTTCTTTATTTTACTGTATGTTTAACTTCTTTCGCACCGTACGTAGCTAACCACGCTAATCGTCGGTGCAGGGCAACGGCAACAAACTGAAACACAAAAAGAAGTTTTAATGAAATTAGTTTTCAATCTCGATGATTTAAAAGTGTCATAGCCACCAGAGGCTTTCTAATCACGGAAAGAAAACTGTTACAGACGGCCACAGAAGTGCGAGCGAGATGTGGAGCGCTGTGAGCCGCTATGGTGTACGAGGCGCTGTGTCAAACACAATTCCGTGTCGTTATTGTCAATGCACGCACGGTCTGCGCAGCCGTCTATGGTGGATCAGCGGTAGAGCGAGCAACTTGCAGTCAACACAAGTTGGGACAGCCACATTTTCTCATCTCTTGAGCTGGCGGATCTTGCCGACAAAATGTCCACACCCTTCCTGGCAAAAACACAGGAGGTGTTAAGATGTAAAAGCACCAAATAGACACACCTCTTGCAAGGCATCAAGTGTGCATTAACCACACATGCTTGTGATAAAACAGTGCGACAAGGCCACAAAGAAGGCTGTCTCTGTGTAGGCCAATCAGTTTCAGAGACAATACAGTGAGGGAAAAAAAGTATTTGATCCCCTGCTGATTTTGTACGTTTGCCCACTGACAAAGAAATGATCAGTCTATAATTTTAATGGTAGGTTTATTTAAACAGTGAGAGACAGAATAACAACAACAAAATCCAGAAAAACGCATGTCAAAAATTTTATAAATTGATTTGCATTTTAATGAGGGAAATGAGTATTTGACCCCTCTGCAAAACATGACTTAATATTTGGAGGCAAAACCCTTGTTGGTTAATCATAGAGGTAAGACGTTTCTTATATTTGGCCACCAGGTTTGCACACATCTCAGGAGGGATTTTGTCTCACTCCTCTTTGCAGATCTTCTCCAAGTCATTAAGGTTTCGAGGCTGACGTTTGGCAACTCGAACCTTCAGCTCCCTCCACAGATTTTCTATGGGATTAAGGTCTGGATACTGGTTAGGTCACTCCAGGACCTTACTTAATGTGCTTCTTCTTGAGCCATTGTCATGCTGGAATACCCATCCACGACCCATTTTCAATGCCCTGGCTGAGGGAAGGAGGTTCTCACCCAAGATTTGACAGTACAGTGATCCCTCGTTTATCGCGGTTAATGGGGACCGGAACCCCTCGCGATAGGTGAAAATCCGCGAAGTAGGATTGGCCCCCTAGGTATTTCCGTATATGTGTGTGTGGGTACCAGAATGTTTAAAATATGTATATTTATACTTTATATATATATTTTACTTAAATCTATTTAATTATAAAACCTTAATATTATACATTCACTCTCTCTCTCTCTCATACGATACGTATTATGGTATTCTACACTCACCAATGACAGTAGTATCTTGAGACTTGACTCCAGTAATGACGACGACGACGATGACAATGACGATGACAATGACGACGATGACAGACCTGTGCAGTTCGATGAATGTGATGATGAAAGATGATGATGATGATGGTGTTACTGCACAGGTATAATGAGGCCTTTAAATCAGTTCGAAAAATCCGCGATGCACTGAGGCCGCGAAACTTGAACCGCGAAGTGGCGAGGGATTACTGTACATGGCCCCGTCCATCGTCCCTTTGATGCGGTGAAGTTGTCCTGTCCTCTTAGCAGAAAAACACCCCCAAAGCATAATGTTTCCACCTCCATGTTTGACGGTGGGGATGGTGTTCTTGGGGTCATAGGCAGCATTCCTCCTCCTTTAAACACGGCGAGTTGGGTTGATGCCAAAGAGCTCCATTTTGGTCTCATCTGACCACAACACTTTCACCCAGTTGTCCTCTGAATCATTCAGATGTTCATTGGCAAACTTCAGACGGGCATGTATATGTGCTTTCTTGAGCAGGGGGACCTTGCGGGCGCTGCAGGATTTCAGTCCTTTACGGCGTAGTGTGTTACCAACTGTTTTCTTGGTGTCTATGGTCCCAGCTGCCTTGAGATCATTGACAAAATCCTCCCGTGTAGTTCTGGGCTGATTCCTCACCGTTCTCATGATCATTGCATCTCCACGAGGTGAGATCTTGCATGGAACCCCAGGCCGAGGGAGATTGACAGTTCTTTCGTGTTTCTTCCATTTGCGAATAATCGCACCAACTGTTGTCACCTTCTCACCAAGCTGCTTGGCGATGGTCTTGTAGCCCATTCCAGTCTTGTGTAGGTATACAATCTTGTCCCTGACATCCTTGGAGAGCTCTTTGGTCTTGGACATGGTGGAGAGTTTGTAATCTGATTGATTGATTGCTTCTGTGAACAGGTGTCTTTTATACAGGTAACAAGCTGAGATTAGGAGCACTCCCTTTAAGAGTGTGCTCCTAAGTTCAGCTCATTACCTGTATAAAATACACCTGGGAGCCAGAAATCTTTTTGATTGAGAGGGGGTCAAATACTTATTTCCCTCATTAAAATGCAAATCAATTTATAACATTTTTGACATGCGTTTTCCTGGATTTTGTTGTTATTCTGTCTCTCACTGTTCAAATAAACCTACCAGTAAAATTATAGACTGATAATTTCTTTGTCAGTGGGCAAACGTACAAAATCAGCAGGGGATCAAATACTTTTTTCCCTCACTGTACATATATTATCAGACCATGTATTTTTTGGAATGTTTTACCACAAGCATGCAGACTTGGTCTCTTGCAATAGGTGTCTATTTGGTGTTGTGGGCACCACGGTGGTGAGAAGTTAAATACCTCACCTCGTATACAGGAGGTTGTGGGTTTGATCCTGACTCTGACGCCTGTATAGTTGGAGTTTGCATGTTCATCCTCCAGTTTCCCCCCCTACATTTAGAATCAACATCATGCGTTTAGAGTATTTGGCTGCAATAAATTGCCACATAATAAGCCACTTCGTCGAGCGATCTTTTGTGGCCAGGTTGCTTCTGAAAAAGAGTTACATAGCTCAGTGGGCCTTACCTGGCAAAATAAAAATAGTTGCCAGAAAGGGTAAAGCCTATTCTTCTTTTCATCACTTTGATACCCGCAAAAGAGTCCCTCGATAAAATGCCCACGCATTCAGTTTTGGATAAGGCTGAGATTTTCTACATGCAATGCTGCATACCTTTACATCTTTGTTAAACCTGCTTGTTTTCAGCCAGCACTAATGTGTCTGCTGGAATGGGAGTTCTCATCGTTTACAGATTTGAAATAATCAGAAGGTTTTCTTTAGAATTCAGGCTGGGGTCATCGCAGCCCAGCAACCTTCCAAGACGTATTAAATAAATACCACTTTGTATGTACATATGTTGAACTTCTTTCACACTATACGGAGCCAACCATGCTAATATTTAGTGTTGTTAGTCAACAGCGGTTGTCCTATGGAACGAACTCATATGAATGCAGAATTTCTACCCCTGGCTCAGGGCCTGTAACCAGGAGATGAGCACCGCCTCGATGCCAGCGTGTGTGTGTGTGATGCCAGGGTGTGTGTGTGTGACGCCAGTGTGGGTGTGACGCCAGTATGTGTGTGTGTGACGCCAGTGTGTGTGTGTGAGATGCCAATGTGTGTGTGTGACGCCAGCGTGTGTGTGTGTGATGCCAGTGTGTGTGTGTGTGTGACGCCAGTGTGTGTGACGCCAGTGTGTGTGTGACGCCAGTGTGTGTGTGTGTGACGCCAGTGTGTGTGTGTGACGCCAGTGTGGTTGTGTGTGACGCCAGTGTGTGTGTGTGTGACGCCAGTGTGTGTGTGTGACGCCAGTGTGTGTGTGTGACGCCAGTGTGTGTGACGCCAGTGTGTGTGTGTGTGACGCCAGTGTGTGTGTGTGTGTGTGACGCCAGTGTGTTTGTGTGTGACGCCAGTGTATGTGTGTGATGTCAGTGTGTGTGTGTGACGCCAGTGTATGTGTGTGATGTCAGTGTGTGTGTGTGACGCCAGTGTGTGTGTATGTGACGCCAGTGTGTGTGTGTGACGCCAGTGTGTGTGTGTGACGCCAGTGTGTGTGTGTGTGTGACGCCAGTGTGTGTGTGTGACGCCAGTGTGTTAGTGTGACGCCAGTGTATGTGTGTGATGTCAGTGTGTGTGTGTGACGCCAGTGTGTGTGTATGTGACGCCAGTGTGTGTGTGTGACGCCAGTGTGTGTGTGTGACGCCAGTGTGTGTGTGTGACGCCAGTGTGTGTGTGTGTGATGCCAGTGTGTGTGTGATGCCAGTGTGTGTGTGACGCCAGTGTATGTGTGTGATGCCAGTGTGTGTGTGACGCCAGTGTGTGTGTGTGCGACGCCAGTGTGTGTGTGTGTAATGCCAGTGTGTGTGTGTGACGCCAGCGTGTGTGTGTGACGCCAGTGTGTGTGTGTGTGACGCCAGTGTGTGTGTGACACCAGTGTGTGTGTGTGACGCCAGTGTGTGTGTGTAACGCCATCATGTGTGATGCCAGCATGTGTGTGATACCAGCGCATGCGATGCCAGCGAGCGTGTGACACCAGCCAGTGTGTGACGCCATCATGTGTGATGCCAGCGTGTGTGTGTGTGTGATGCCACCGTGTGTGATGCCAGCGAGCGTGTGACGCCAGTGTGTGTGACGCCAGTGTGTGTGTGCCCCTGCCCAGACCCGTTGTTCCCCGTGTCCTTCGCGCTGCGCAACTGGGTGCCCGTGCTGCTGGACGCTGGCTTCCAGGCCTCCTTCCTCGCCGGCCTGCTCTTGTTCTGGCTGTGCGCCTTCCACGATTTGCTCCTGCAGGTTAGTCTGTTATTATATAATTATAATTGAGCTCGTTCAGCCAGAAAAGCCTCGCTTGATGAAATTCTCTTTCTTTCAGGAGGGTCCTGCCAAGTTTTTTCAGAAGGGTGTGGTGGGGGGGGCAACGTTGCCACCACCACGTGTAATCCGAAAATTAGTCATTTTCAAGAAATGTTTGAGCTTTGGGATGTTGGGCCGATACCGGTTACGTTGTATTGTTTCTTTAGCTATGGGTGGGAACTGCCAGCGAGAGAACAAACCCCGCGCAGAAAGAAACCCGAGTCGGGAATCGAACCCATTCCCTTCCTTCTGTTAGGGGCAAATGTTACCACTGCACGATGCTACTTGCGCCCAGTCTGCCTCTAGCGCGGTCGTGAATTTCTTTCCGATGGGTCGTGCAGTTGCGTGTGTGGATGCGTCTTCAGCAGAGATGAGCATCTCTGAAGTGCCGAGTTCCTTTTAAAACCAAAATGTTTCTCGTGTTACTGATCCCGCTTTCATGTCTACTGGCCGAGTTCGCCCTTGAAACAAGAGCTTCTTAGCTCAAGTGGGAAAAAAAAACCTTCTGGTTCTGATGGCAGATGATGACAGGCTGAGTCAACTTTGACTGTGAGTTGACCGCTCTCAGCACATTGCCACCAAGTAGCTGCTGCAACCCACAGCAGGGACAGCGAATGGATACGAGTCGTGCAATTTCACCACATTTTGGCCACGCTTAATCCGGAACTGGTGAGCCAACTTTTGTTCCCAGAAATTAATTTTGTTTAACATTGAGTTATGTTATGTTTACGCGACTGTTTTTGTTTTCTTCGGTGATGCGGTCGTGTTTTTCGCATTAACTATTAACTATTATTTTTTTCCAACTTGTTAGCTTTCAACTCTGCTTTCTATTTGCTTCGTTGTTATACTTTATTTTTACGTGATTGCTTTTTAAATTTTGGTGACCCCCGCTACCAGTCGGTCACTTGCAAGCGGGACTAATAAAAATACCATCTTGAAATGCGCCCTCGCAGCCCAACCGCCGGTGCTTCCTGGGCTTCTACTTGCCGAAGCTGGTGATCGTGGGGCCCATGTGGCTCCTGGCGCTCACCCTGGGTGTCTGGAGGATGTACGTAGTACCGCGCACCAGATAAACAGCGACAGGAAAGGGCCCCACATGAGCCTCAACGTAAATAAGCAGACAAGACGCCTCCTTCCCCGTATCCTCATTTCACGCCGTAGATGCCTTCCTTGAAAAGTGCTGCGTTGAGCAAAAAAACGCATCAAGCGAGGAATTTCTATGTACACATTACAGGGCATAAATAAGTTAAAATAGAACAAATGTATCCATAGTAGTTTTTTTTTGGGTTAGATCGCATAAATATAAATGTGTCATTAAACCCACCACCACCACCCGACACAGCCAATTAGTAAGTTTGTCACTTAAATAAAAAGTGCCAATTAGCAGTTCAGCACTCCGGTGTGTTGGAGAGTAAACCCACAACATTTACAATTCGCGTACCCTGCCGACGTTACGTTGGTAATTACAATCAGCGTCATCAGGCGACAGCCAGCCAATTGTAGCCCAAAAACCTCTTTTGAATAATATTGGTTGCAAAAGCCTACGTGTTAAAATTGCAAATTTGAATCACATTTGTGCTATTAAATCAGCCTGCAGTCATCCCCATGGCCAGACAAAGAACTGAGATGATAGACGCCACTGCTTACTGTATCATTCCGCGTGTGTACCCAGAATTCCCGTACCACTGAGCCGCGCAGCTCAAGAAAGTAGTTAGTCATCGACAGCTCAGAAACCGCATTGTACCAACGGGGCGTGTTCTGCGTTGTATCTAAAGTGTTCCCAAATAGAAGAGCTGCGCTATTGCCAAAACCGGTGTAAACAAGAGTTAAGCAAGGACTTACCATTAAAGTATTTTTTACGCATCTCATCAGCTTCGGCACAAACTCTGGATCGGTTTTGACATCAGTGTGTCATCAATAGAGTCAGGCTTGCTTGGAATACGCCCAGATAGTTTTTTTAATATCAGATGTTAACTACCTCGCCTGGTGTACAGGAGGTTGTGGGTTCGATCTCGACTTTGACGCCTGCTGTATATTTGGCATGTCTGTCTTCCCCGTGGTTGTGTGGATTTTTCTCCGGGTTCTCTGGTTTTTCCCACCACATTTAGAAAACAGGAGTTGAGAATATTTGACTGCTATACATTTTCACGTGATAAGCCGCTTCATTGAGCTATCATTTGTGATAGCCAGGTCGCTTCTAAAAAAATAGCTACACAGCTCAGTGGGCCTTACCTGGTAACATAAAAAAAATAGTTTAGTTTTAAGTTTAGGAATAAGGCCAGCCACCCCAGTAATAAAATTACAGCGGGTGAATTAATTGTGAAATACACACCACCGCTTCACAGTGGACGTAAGAAAGCCTGTGACGTCATTTGGAAAAGAGTAGGCCATTGTGTGCTGGCATCATCGAATTTGTGTGTGTGCCACCCCGTGACGCCACTTGTGTTGATTTTCTGCAGCGTCAACGAGAACTACGACCCGTCGTACCACTATAGGGTGGACGCCGGGGTGTTCCTGGTGAGTGTGAGCACTCGGCATTCGCCAGATGAACCGGTATGCGCTTCAGCTGTGCCCCTGTGCGTGTGAACATCGACCGTTGGGGGGAAACAAAGGTGGCCGGGCGTGGTACTGGCCATGCCAACCCCCCCCCCCCCCTCATGTGCCGTGCTGGCCTTCATAGATAGGTGCCCACTAACAACGGTCTGTTATGGCTTTATGGGGGATCTTAGCCTTTGTGCCGTAGCGGAGAGGCGAGCACTGGTGATGCATCTGCCAGCCATCATCGTCAACCCATATCACCTGTGGGTCTTAAAAACTAAAACTAAACAGTTTTTTTTTTTTATTTTACCAGGTAAGGCCCACTGAGCTATATAGCTCTTTTTTAGAAGCGACCTGGCTATCATAAATGATAACTCAAAATGGAGTATCATGTGGACATTTATAGCAGCCAAATAATCTAAACGCATGTTTCTAAATGTCGAGGGAAAAGCCAGGGCTGGGATAAAACCCACGACCTGTATACCAGGCGTGGGGGTTAACATCTCCGGGGCACCGTGCTCTCTTGCCAGTGACACTTCACGTTGCCTCACAGTGCTTTCAGACCAGCACTTTTCCAGTGGTGACATCACCGTCACTCAGGGGTGAACGGCGACTGTGGTTGTGTGTGCGTGCGTGGGAAGCGGTAGTGCAACGGTTGGGATGGTGCACTACGAACCTGGCGACCTAAGTTCGATTCCCACTCACGGCCAACACCAGTGAATCGGTCCTGGGCCTCCACTAGGTCGACTCAGCCTCATATGAGTACCTGGTGCGATGTGTAAAGATCGCCACTGGGGAGACAAAGGCGGCCGGGCGTGGCGCTTGATACCCATCCCCTCGCATGCCGTGCCGGCCTTCATAGTTGCTACTCGCTAACAGCACTTGCCCCAGTAGTATGTCAAGGGTATACAGAGGACCTTTGTATTCGTGCGTGTCACCTGTCGACAGGCCCTCAAAGTGGTTTTCTTTTTCCTGGGCGGCCTCTACCTGTGCTACATCGCCATGCTCGTGGGACGCTCCTTCAGGCAGCTCAAGCAGACCAACTATCACGGTGAGCGCTGCCAACCTCCCTGCACGTGGCTATCCGGGCAGCTGCCCCCCGCTCGGTTGACGGAGCATTCCCCGTGCTCTTGGAAATTGCTCTGTGCTTAATTTTATTTCGCAGCACTTAGCGTCAAATCAAAACAGGCCCAAAGAGGCTTCAAATGTCACGATGACCTCTCTAAAATTGCAATGTGTAAGCCTTGGATTATGAGTCGCTGTAAGCGAAGGTTGAGTTTTTAAGGTTTTGCACAGGAGACGATGCGTTTTCTCACCCAACCCCACATTCCACTTTCTGAGGGCCGGCGTGCCTCAGTGCGTAACCTCCACTATTGGCTTCGCACAAAGTGGCACTAATTTTAGCAACCCCAGGGGGATGCCGGGCTGAGCCAACCCCTAAGCGGGATTTTAGAACTTTTATTATTTTACCAGGTAAGGCCCAATCGACTTTTGGATATTTTTCAGAAGCGACCTGGCCACAAATGATAGCTCAACAAAGTGGCTTATCACGTGGAGATTTATAGCAGCAAAATACTCTAAACGTGCAGGGGAAGAACGGAGGACCCGGAGAATAATCCCTACGACCACGGGGAGAGAGAGAGTCGTACAAACTCCAAATATACAGCAGGCGTCAAGGTTGGGATCGAATCCATGACCTGTATGCCAGGCGAGTGATTCCACGCTGGAGAGTAAGAAACGTGTGGAGCGTGCGCTGTGACGATACCGATTCCTCCGTGGTCGTAGCTGCTGGACATCTGTGAAAAAGAACGTCATTACTCATCAGATTCCTCCAGGCTAAATAGAGATTCTGCTGCTGCTGCTGTGTGCAGGCAAGGATTCCATGATACAGGTGCTCATCCCAAACCTACGCCTCAAGTTCCTCACCGTCTTCACCTTCATCGTCCTGGCCATCAGGTGAGCCCATCGCCCACCTTCACCCAACCCGTGCTGACCTGTGTGGTGAAGTATGGTGAAATGACCCCCCTTGATTTGCACGCCATAGGGGGAGGCCCCCTTATCCAGCAGCGGATTAACACAAGGGCTGTGCATGCACAAAACGTGAACTGGCCGGGTCAGTTTTCGGGTTCGGAAGGTTGCAAGTTCAAAAACACCGGACAGCGATTAACTCGGACCATCAGCATTCGGGCAGCATCGCAGTGTACAATTATCATTACACGCAACATTATCGCTGCTAGCTTCATTACACGCAACATTATCGCTGCTTTCTTCATTACGTACAGCATCATCGCAGCTAGTGACAGGATCATCGCTGTGTGATGACAAACAGCGTTAACTTCACTGTGCTGTGTTTGCAGAAGTCACGTTGTACACAAGCGGTGTATTCTCATTGGGGAGAGCCGTCCGCTCAGCTTGCTGCATACAATGGCCGCAACCTGCCGACTGCGATTCTGTTTTTGCTGTGACCGCAGCTTCGCCATCCTCTTCCTGAGGTTTGGGATTCATGGCCTCCAGGACAACTTTGTCGCTGAGCTCTCCACGCACTACAAGAACTATATCCTCTTGCCGAACGAAGCGTTAATCGATTGCCACTACGTGGTGCCATGCTGTGCGGTTCTGCGCAAATGAAGCATTATTGTTTTGCTTCAAACATTTTACTCCAGTTGTGCTTTTGGCGTCATCATGAATAATGCGTCATAACTTATTACCGTCGGTGTTCGCCCCATTATTATTATTATTATCGCGTGAGGCTGCCGCGAAGGCACTGTGTGTCACGGTCTGCAGTAGTTTCACTCATACGGGGCAACGTCGCTATGTGTAACCCCCGATTCGAGTTATTTGCGGGTAATTTCAAATGTTAGCAAATGCGGACCACGACGCCGACACACAAGAGCCTACACTTTCGAATGACGTTGCCTGGATCTTTAACATCTGCTCTGAAGCGGACGGCCCACGTATTGTATGGTTATATGCACCCACAGTGATAACCAGCGCAGCCTATTTGACCTCATGCCATGCCATGATCAAACCACGAACTTCTGCTATTAGCGGCGAACTTTACTATCGCTGGGCCACGTCACCAACTCCTCTACAGTCTTAATATATGTGTAACTGGATAACAAGCTGTGTGCAATATAATTGTGCCAAACAACAGCCCTGATGATGCGGTGTCACAAAACTACTGCTTGAAGTCACTTCAGGAGCTTTGTAGCCACATGACGTCATGCACCTTCCCACATGGCCCGCAAAGAGCTTTTATGCCGTAAACCAAAAAATGTTCACCCTCAAGAGCTGGAATATGGCAAAACCAAGGATAGGATCCTTGCCTATAAACATCTGGCTGTTTACCAGGATTGTTGTTGTTTAAAGCAAGTCGGGAACTGCTGATGAGGCACTGAATGAACAAACCGGTCCAGAGTTTGCTTGTTTCGAACCAATGCCGTTAAAAAAGAAATCACCATGATAAGGCCAGGTGACCAATGAGTTGCGTACCAAAAATACTTTTTTTATGTGGAGGGACAGAGATGGGAAGAAATAGAATTGTTATTATATATATATGATCCTGAGTTCGATTCTTGACTCGGGACACCTTTTGATACGTTTCTTCCCCAGTTCACCATGGGTTTCCTCCGGGCTCTCGAGTTTCATCCCAATAGTTAAAAACGTAGAGTCTCATTGGTGTTGGCCAAGCTTTCCAATGCAGGACCTTCTTGAAAAAAAGTGTTCAGCCTCGGTGTGGCTTTCCTGGGTGAACAAGTTATTAATCAACTATAAATGATCGATTTTTTTTTATTTTACCAGGTAAGGCCCACTGAGCTATGTAGCTTTATTTCACAAGCGACCTGGCCACAAATTAGAGATCAACGAAGTAACTAATAATGTGGAATTGTATAGCAGACAAATATTCTACAAACATTTCGATTTAAAGCTTTCGTGACTGCAGGGATTCATCTTCTTGGTTCTTTCGGTAAAGTCACGTAGAAGGGAAGTAATAAAATAATAAAAATAAAACATAATAAAACAATTCTCACGACGTTTCGGCCACAACGCAAGCAGCCGTCCTCAGGTGAAAACCAGGTCCGTCGAGGCGACAGAGTCTGAATGAAACAGCACACGAGCTTGGAGCATATATATAAGCTGGGCGCATTGACAAAGGAATTTGCATATCAAAAGGAATTTAGCATATTTATGGGAAATGCAGGAATGTGATTAGTACTGCATATGCATGTGCATTATGCAGGATTAACAGCATCAAAGGGAGCTGCAGTTACTGCTGCTGCAGCAGTTGCTGCTGCTGCTGCAGTTTCTGCTGCTGCTGCTGCAGTTGCTGCTGCTGCTGCAGTTGCTGCTGCTGCTGCACTTGCTGCTGCTGCTGCACTTGCTGCTGCTGCTGCACTTGCTGCTGCTGCTGCAGTTGCTGCCTTATCCATTTTAATATAACACTATGTATTATTCTACCCACCCTAATGTGTATCATACTGCTATATGTTTACTGTACAATTACGACACCATACATTACTCTGCACACTGCACCATGCCAGTGAGTGGAACGTGGTCTGAAAGTCACCGTAAACGTGAACACAATCAGTTAAGATCCGAAATGGTTTATTACGTCCTTCCAATGATTGCTAAGCCAGAATCCATCTTCTCGGTTGAAATTGTCTCTGTGTTTGTATATGTGGATCGCCTCATGAACGAATCTCTCATGATAGCCAGATGGCTTGCAGAGAACCTCTGTCTTGGAGAAGTCAATGTCATGTGAGCCCACTGAATTGTAACAGTGATCTGCCACGGCTGAGGTGTTTGTCCTACCGTGTTTCAGGTCTGCCTTATGTTCACGGATGCGGTCCGAGACATGTCGTTTGGTTTCTCCAATGTAACTGCTACCACAGAGGAAACTTAGTTTGTAGACGCCAGGGTACTGTATGTCTGGAACCACATCTTTTACAGACGGGACCAGATCACGGATTTTATGTACTGTGTTGAATCGGACCTGGATCTTGTGTTTAATCAGGATTTTGGAGATCTTTTTTGTGACCCCAGCAATGTAGGGTAAGGTGATTGTCTTGAAAGGCTCCTCAACAGGATCCTTCTTGATGGTTGGAGTGATGGCTTTGCGGAATGTGTAGTCGGAGTAACCATTAGCCTTAAGAGCTTGGCATACGTGTTTGAGTTCACTGGAAATGTGTTCATGGTCGGAGATGCATTGGGCTCTAGGATTTGTCCGAAATCCTACGGCCTTTCACTGGAAAAACCACCTCTGCAGTACTAAACTCTACTGACCTGGTATCGACAATCAAGGGGATTGCCCTGTCCCCAGACGACCTGCTTGTCAGTTTTGATGTGGTTTCCTTGTTCACCAAGGTGCCTGTGCCTGACACCATCGCAATCATTGAAGACTTGGTTCATCAAGGACTGAATGCTGGGGTACCCCCCCTGGTGAGACACTGCTTAACCAATACATACTTCACCTGGAATGGAACCTTCTACAAGCAAATTGAGGGCACCCCAATGGGCTCTCCCCTATCTCCGGTTGTAGCCAACATCTTCATGGAGAAATTTGAGACGGACGCCATCCAGACTGCCACTCTACGCCCGACCTTATGGAAGAGGTACGTAGACGACACTTTTGTCATCTGGCCACATGGCCGGCCTGCTCTAGACCAATTTCTCGACCACATCAATTCCATACACCCAGCCATCAGATTCACCATGGAAGTCGAAAATGATGGCAAGCTACCCTTTTTGGATGTCCTAATCAAAAGGAGACCTGATGGTTCAATGAGCCACTCTGTCTACAGGAAAGCCACCCACACGGATGCTTATCTAAAACCGGATTCCCACCACCATCCATCCCAGAAGAATTCCCTCATCAAGACTCTATATCATAGAGCCCAATGCATCTCCGACCAGGAACACATTTCCAGTGAACTCAAACACGTACGCCAAGCTCTTAAGGCTAATGGTTACTCCGACTACACAATCCGCAAAGCCATCACTCCAACCATCAAGAAGGATCCTGTTGAGGAGCCTTTCAAGACAATCACCTTACCCTACATTGCTGGGGTCACAAAAAAGATCTCCAAAATCCTGATTAAACACAAGATCCAGGTCCGATTCAACACAGTACATAAAATCCGTGATCTGGTCCCGTCTGTAAAAGATGTGGTTCCAGACATACAGTACCCTGGCGTCTACAAACTAAGTTGCCTCTGTGGTAGCAGTTACATTGGAGAAACCAAACGACATGTCTCGGACCGCATCCGTGAACATAAGGCAGACCTGAAACACGGTAGGACAAACACCTCAGCCGTGGCAGATCACTGTTACAATTCAGTGGGCTCACATGACATTGACTTCTCCAAGACAGAGGTTCTCTGCAAGCCATCTGGCTATCATGAGAGATTCGTTCATGAGGCGATCCACATATACAAACACAGAGACAATTTCAACCGAGAAGATGGATTCTGGCTTAGCAATCATTGGAAGGACGTAATAAACCATTTCGGATCTTAACTGATTGTGTTCACGTTTACGGTGACTTTCAGACCACGTTCCACTCACTGGCATGGTGCAGTGTGCAGAGTAATGTATGGTGTCGTAATTGTACAGTAAACATATAGCAGTATGATACACATTAGGGTGGGTAGAATAATACATAGTGTTATATTAAAATGGATAAGGCAGCAACTGCAGCAGCAGCAGCAAGTGCAGCAGCAGCAAGTGCAGCAGCAGCAGCAAGTGCAGCAGCAGCAGCAACTGCAGCAGCAGCAGCAACTGCAGCAGCAGCAGAAACTGCAGCAGCAGCAGCAACTGCTGCAGCAGCAGTAACTGCAGCTCCCTTTGATGCTGTTAATCCTGCATAATGCACATGCATATGCAGTACTAATCACATTCCTGCATTTCCCATAAATATGCTAAATTCCTTTTGATATGCAAATTCCTTTGTCAATGCGCCCAGCTTATATATATGCTCCAAGCTCGTGTGCTGTTTCATTCAGACTCTGTCGCCTCGACGGACCTGGTTTTCACCTGAGGACGGCTGCTTGCGTTGTGGCCGAAACGTCGTGAGAATTGTTTTATTATGTTTTATTTTTATTATTTTATTACTTCCCTTCTACGTGACTTTACCGAAAGAACCAAGAAGATTCTACAAACACTCGTTCCCAAATGTGGGATCCCAATTGAGTAACAACTCTTAGCCACCGTGGCACAACAGGTGCCTGGCCTTAACCACCGACCACCCGCAGAGTTCCTCACCTTCTTTGCCGTGCTCAACTTCTACATGTACACGCTGGCCTTCGTCTACTCTCCATCCAAGTTCGCCGCGAGCGGTAAGGACGCTCGACCGAGTCGCCCATCTTCCCGCTCACACGAGCGAGCGACGGCCGAGCCAGTGGTGAAATCTGAGAATTTCCACCACTGCGCTCAGGGCAACCCCAATGGAAGGAGGGGTGGGGGGGAGGGGGCTGAGCTTGTTGACTCCTTTTCAAGAGGGTCCTGCCACACGTTATCGCAGTAGGTGGCGGCGGCGCTGCTGTGTGTGGGATCCCAATTGAGTTATTTGTAGCGTGATTTTCTTCAGCATCGGGATGTTTGGCCAATACCAGTTACATTGTGTTTTTTTGTTGTTAAATATAACTCAGCATTTCAAACCTGTAGCCTTTGTAGAATGTGAATTGACAGGCCTGGCACAACCCAGTGAGTGACATCCAGCGATGTAATTAATGGGCTTCTTGAGCTTGGCCAGGCAGAACAGGGGGGAGAGCAAACAAACCCCTCACGGAAAAGTACCCGAGCCATGAGCTGAACCCAGGCCCTCCTTGCTGCGAGGTGCAAGCGTTACCACTGCACCAGCCTGCCGCCCCCCAACGTAGGGAGTGACTGCGACCGCACTGTGAAGTCTCCGCTGTTTATTCCCAGAGTATGGCCAAGACGAGAACGCTCAGCCCATGCTGAGGCGGTCGTACTCCCTGCGCAGCTCATCCATCAAACCAGGTGCCCACACACACACACACACAGCACTTAGTGCCCACTCACAGCGCTTGGTGCCCACACACACAGCGCTCGGTGCCGTCCGCGTCGTTGGTCCCGTTCTGTTCTAGAGGTTCTTTCCCAACGGCAGCAGCGACGCAGCCCAGCAGCGGCGTGTTGGTCGCTCGTTTACAGAGGCTCGCCGTGGCTAGGAGATGTTGCCTCCCTTCCCTGGTGTAGAGGAGGTCGTGGGTTCCATCCTGACCCTGATGCCTCTTGTATAGTGGGAGTTTGCATGTCTCTCCCTACACATCACACAATGATAAGACACTTCGTTGACCTATCATTTGTGGGCTGGTCGCATCTGCAAAAGAGGTAAATCGCTCAGTGGGCCTTATCTGGTCAAATAAAATGTCTCGTTTTAGGTTTAAGAATCCCGCAGGCCACCCCGTTAATAAAATTACCGCAGGTGAATTCACTGTGAAATACACGGCACCTGCTTCACAGTGGACGTAAGAAATCCTGGGAAGTAATTTCGCAAAAGAGTAGCCCATTGTGTGCTGGCGTCATCGTACGAAATTTTCACATTTAAAAAAAATGCATCACGAATTAGTTTGTTGGGATGATGCATCGGAACACCACCCTCCGCTGTGAACACTTGGCAGGACCCTCCTGTAGAACAGTCTTCAGACACGTTGAGCCTTTCCTGGGTAAACAAGTTTCATAATAATAACAATAATAATCTCATCAGGTCTTGCAAGCTAAGCGGTGTTGTGCCTGGATCGTGCCTGAACGATTGACCCACAATGCACAGCAGACTTGTATAGGCGACTGTGGGGCTGCATGGTGAGCAGCAGATGGCAGAGCAGCAATATTCATTGCTGTACTGTACTTCTGCACTTGCCACCTATGCTCCCCACCTTCACCAACCCTCACCGACCAGCTTGGTGAAGTACGGTAAAATAACCGCCATGAGCCACACGGCGTGGGGAAGCCTTCATCCAGCAGTGGATTGACCATGGCGCTGTGCTCGTGCACACACGTGCAGTTGAATTTGTACAATGTTTGGATACCCCCTTTCAGTGGGAGTGATATTACATTTCATAGAAAGTTGTTAAACCTCTAAAACGTTTAAACTGTGACGTGTAGCTTGGCGGTAACGTTGTGACGCTGTCTGGCTACTGCATGCAGGAGACGCTTTGGGAGGAAACTCTGCCTTCCCGCTCATGTTGTTGACGGACGAAGAGGAAGTGTGAAGCCGGCGGGACGTGTGGTGGGTTCGTGATGGCGCTGCACGCCCAACGGCGCATCTACCACCCCGCTGCACACCAGACTAGCAGCATAATCACACGGCCTACGTGTGTCTGTGCCTATGTGTGCGTGTGAGCGGTAGTGTAGTGGCTAGCACGCTCTGCTACGAACCTGGCGACCCGCGTTTGATTCCCGCTCACGGCAAACACCGGTGACGATTATCTGAACCGGTCCTGAGCCTCCCCTAAATCGACTCGGCCTCAAATGAGTACCTGGTGCGGTGTGTAAACATCGCCGCTAAGGAGACAAAAGCGGCCGGGCGTGGTGTTGGCCACCCACCCCCTCGTGTGCCGTGCCAGCCTTTATAGGTGCTCGCTAACAGCACTTGCCCCTACAGTCTGTTAACGCTATACGAGGGATCTTTATATTTGTCTTTGTGTGACTCCGTGGCCATACACGCACGTCGGCTTGTTTCTGGGCGTCTACGGCTCTGGGAAGCCCACAGCGGGCGCGCGCCTGTTGCGGTGTGGTCCACGACACGACTTTGTTCTGACGAGTCCAGTGCCGAGTCCAGTGGCCGAGCGCGATGAGCTTGGGCCCTGGTGCAAGGGAATGAATGGGATCCCCTGTCCAATTCCTCTCTTCTTCGTGGCCCTCGGGCCCTCAGGCCCTTGGGCCCCGATGCAGTTTCACTGCCTGTGGGCTCGCCAGCGGCACCGCTGGATAACGCCGCCCACCATCGCGCCACTCAGGCTGCCAGCTCCAGTCATTCAGACGCAGCACTGCATTAAACACCTCCTAGCCGCCCCCCCTCTCTTCCCCCCCCCCATTAATTAAACCTGTTCATTTAAATAGTTAAGCAGACAACGCACATTCTTCCCGTGCCTGTCCCTCCACATATTATTACACGTCGTTTTACAGGTCCCATCAGCCGTATGGCATTCTGGGAGTGCATCATTTCAGCAGCATTGGTTCGACACAAACAAACTCTGCGGACTGGTTTTCACATTTATTGTCTCATCAGCAGTCAGGCTTCCTCACACCAGTGCTGGTGAACTGCCGAATGTTTATAGGCAAGCACGTGGGCCCTAGTTGGATGCAAGACTATACAATGCATAGCGCACGTTCTTTTCATGTGTAAAGCGCAATGTATAATTTATAAACGCAGGTGCCGCAAATAAGTAGCCAGCCTTTACAGGGAAGATAATTTGCACCGCTGGCTCAGGGCCATAAGTAAAAGATGAGCACTGCCCCACGTGAGAGTGGGAAAACTATTTTGACTTTAAGAACCAAAGTGGTTTCTTGCTCCAGTCAGCAGCGTTAGCGGCGCGCATCTCATTACAGCTCTACGCCAGTGGTGTAAATCCCCATTCGTCTGATGGTGGAGAGTTTATTTAGAGGACACCCACTGTTGGCCTCTCTACGAAGTGGAGTTTATTTTATCAATCCTACAGGGATAATGGACTGAGTGAAACCCATAACCAGGATTTGAACTCGTGAAGCCTTTTCTGAGCACAAGCTGATCGCTCTCTCCTGCTAGGCCACCTCTGCTGGCTACAGCTGCGACTTTAAATTGGGATGTGTTGAAACTATCCCAGATAAACTCTCTCAATGGATGGAGATTACCCCTTGTGAGTCATTACAGATATCGCTCAATTTACCAAAGGGATGCGGTTCTTCAAAGAACACGCTTAAAATATGTTTTTAAATAGGAACGGCTTTTCCCATTAATTTAATACGAAAGGTTAGGGATGTGTTTCGGACAGTCATTCCAACTCTACTCCCAACCGAAAATTTGACACCTATATGACTTTCCACCAAAAAAATAACAAAGAACTTCAATATTAAAAAGATTGACTAATAATGAATTTAAAGCTAAAATAATTCACCTTTTCAGGGAACTCACCAAAATATCTGCTGCATGTTGGAATGACTGGCAGGGCGATGTGGCGGCGTTACTGCTGCCACTGCAGGGACACCGTGACGCTGCCGCGGATGGATGACGATGCAGCCTCCCGGGTGCTTCGTGATTGATCTCACAGCATATGTCGGAGTGAAATTTAATTCACCAAACGTTCATAAATCGGGGGATACCTGTACTGCAAGAAAATATTTAACCATTAGCTCCGCTTTCCATGTCATTTGAGTTGCCCACAGTAATTGCTGGCAGCATGGCAGCCACCATCGAAGGGCATCAGCACCATTCGCCTCATGCTGTTGCCCCCTGCTCTGCCCAGTGTTGATGACGTCGCTCCGGCGATTGTCATAACCCAGCCTCGATGCCGTGCAGCGCTCTGCTCGAGTGGCTGTGTGCGCCCTGACCAAATCAGCATAAATACTGTACACCAAATCTTGTCGGTGCGAAGCTAAGCATGGTTTAACAAGCCTGGTTACTGCTTGATTCGGTGACCACCGGCACCTTCAATATGCTGTAGGCAATGTGCGAGGTGTACGGCAACGGATTATTGAATCTATCTGTGCAGAGCCGTGAGCGTTATTCGTCCCGCATGTGTGGGTGGGACTTCTCCGGCTAATCTGTTTTTTCTCACACGCGTGCCACTCGTGAATGGTATTGGCTAACCATCTCAATGTTATAGGACCCTCATGAAGAGAGAGTGTTGAGACTCTGTGAGGCTTTGCTGGGCAATTGGCATGATTATAATAGCACATGTAGGTTTGTGGAATGCAGCTGCTTGCCTATGCAGTATTCAGAAGCTCCGAGCTCGGGGGATAACTGCTGTGAATGGGAAATTAACTCAAGCACACGCTATTTGTTTCCATTATTGATGTTCTCTTGACAAGTTACATTTATTTAAAAATGTACGAGATAACCTTCCCAACTAATGTCCACATTTTAACCCTTATCGTACTATATGTAAACCATTTTTTTTATTCCAAATGTCAATACTGCACTGTGTCCCTGGTATATGGGGCGTCAACTCTGTCCCAGAGTATCGTCCGCCATGCATTATTAAAATGTATCAGATCTGACCAAGATCCGACCGTGTCCAATCATGTCCATCCAGTGCTCTGTGAGATGCATTGGCTTCTGGTTGCCGAACAAATACATAAGGTCGCACTCATTACACAAGAAGTGCTTTCCAATAATGAATCACAATACCTTACTGATCTCGTCACACGAACTCCGGTCATCCTCGCAGCGGCTTTTGGCTAACCATCGAACAAAGACGGTCACTGCATTGCGCGCTTTCAGATGCACTTCTGGGGCTGTCTGGAATTCTCTTCCGATATTAGGAAGATATTAGGAGCTATGCACTTTTAAATCTAAATTGAAAACGTATTTCTTTCGAAGTGTTGTCCTTCCTCCTCGCCTACGATTAGCATGGTTAGCTACGTACGGTGCGAAATAAGTTCCTGATACATACATCAGGCCGAGCACAATTCATGTCTTACAATTGCAAGATGTTTATCGGTGAATTACATTTACAGCTGACTTGTGTCTTGTCATCCCCATTCCAGCGGGAGGATTGGTCAAGTCCGGTCCATTATTGCGATCCGCTGTGGTCAGATTCACATCAAAACGCCGTTCTATTCCACAAAGAACAGAGCTGCATGGGTGTGTGGATGCTCCATTGTGGCTGCAGCTTTGCCTGTAATAAAATAGACGCCGTTCTGTTTCACCACACCAGACTTAAAATCACACTTCAATCCATCAGCCTGTGGGTCTTGTGAGACCAGTGATTTCCAGCAGCATTGAAACAGGCAAACTCTGGGTCGGTTTGGGCTTTCTGAGTCTCATCATTTGAGTGTGCCTCGTTTAGCAAATGCTACTGGATCGTCTGCTGTCAGGCAATTGCTCTTCACAAACCCACAATGCACCATCAATGTATATAATACATGTGTACAGTGTTGCTTTGTAATTAATCGCTTGCAATTCGGCAGTTGGAGCAGGTAGGCGACTTCTCTCTCCGTGAACAGTCGTGGCAGGGATTTAACTTTACCCAGTGGGCTCAAATGTGCCGGGCAGAGCGAACCCGACGCCGGCCGTGTTTTTGTTGCGTGAGCTCGGGTGAATAATACGCAAGTGGGAATGTGCGGGTGCTGTCTGAACCCCGCGCACTGCATGGGCACTTCTAGCTGCGGTGGGGACCAGGTTTGGCAAATGGGCACTCGCTGTACGGTAACGAGCAAGTGTGAATTAAACGTTTTCAAAGTTGTGGTGCTCCCTAGGAAAGAGGGAAATTGCAGTCTGCTGACGACGAGAAAGCGATTTAAACTCTTGATGCGGGATAATTAATTCTCACTCCTGGTTGCCGGCTTTAATGTGAACATGTTCAGGCTCGTTTGTCTTTGTACATTTGAAAATTACCCACCGCTAGTGGAACAAGCCGTGGGTAATCAGTTATCCAGGTGTAACATAGATAAGCACGTTCAATGGGATCCACTTGTCACGAGTTGGAATTGCTTGGAGGCCAGCGAACAAGACGTATTGTGTTCTCAATCCAGTTACCCCTTGGATTGCAGTTCTTACAAAATGTCTTTGTGCAAAAGTTATTTGAAGACGTAATTAAATGTAGTGCAGATAAAAGCTGTGACTCGGTGTTTTGTGGAGGTCCTACATTTGTAGAGGACAAATTTACATCCTGAGCACAACGCATTGGAGATTTTTTCCTCCAGTTGGTGAGACATTGGCACGCTTTCAACAAATGCGGACATTCGCCCATGTGTGAATTAGCCACCCTCGCACTCTGTGGGCCAGACTCTAGGTTTATTTGGGGTAGAGTGGCGCTGCAAAATGGACATTGCCGACAAAACGGTTTGTCCATCTCGAAAACTTGAGGAAAACTGAAACTGGATGGCAAGGATTTTAACGCAAGCCGTTTTTAGCAGCCAAAGGAACAGCGCTCAGTTGTTTTCTGTTCCGTGGATTGCATCGCCTACGGAATCGTTGCAGCCATTGCCCGCACAGCAGTGCGTGCAGGGCACCTGCATTGCTGTGGCGAACATTTTAAAATAAAAGTTTTTCAGGATTGATGAAAGACGATCCCTGACTCAATTGAATCAGATTTTTTTTTCAAAGGGTGCAGAGAGCCGTGAAGCTTACAGTGAGGGCGCGTTGTTCACGAGGCCCAACGCGGGTAGCTCCAGCCCCGTCAGGTGCTACACACGCTCATGAACGTGTCTTAAGATGCGCGTGAAACAAACGAAAGTTGATTTCAATGGTATACATCGGTCTCATGTACGTTAACTCTTGAAATGTATAAAATGTACACAAAAAAATACAATTGGAAATGCTATCACTTTAGAATCAATAATCGAGTCAAACGACTATCAATTTATCTATACTGTATTGGTTTAACCCAAATGTATATAGTGGTGTCGAATTGTAACCCCATCTCAAGAAGCTGTAGGGAAACGGTGCGAGTGCATAACTGTAGAGGGAGGCAGTCATGGCCGGGCTAAAAATGTCTTCAGTCTGGACTTGTCAAGGGGCCGAGAGCCCACATATCACGGGGGGCAAGCAGAGGAGAATGAGCGACCTCCCACTGCGAACGAGGCCTTCAAACAAAAGCCATCAAACTTACATTTGTCACTAAAATGTGAAATAAGTTTATTTTTGCATGAAAAAAAATGTACAGGCAAATTTTAACAAACAAAAAACCATTAAAACCATGACCACATATGCTCACATTTTGATAGCGTCACTCAACACTGGTGAATTAAGTATGTTGTATGCCACAGCCATGTCATCTAAGCCCTAGATTAAGGTGGTGAAAACATAACTCACACAAATCATAACACAACCAATTAAAACCAGTCGGGATAATCGCTTGTACTGGTACGAGGATGCAACTAGGGTTGGGCAAGCTTCATTGATTGTTCATCAGGAAATCGGACAACACAATTGAATGATCGGCAAAGGTTACTTCTTTCAGAATTCTAGTGGACGCTGCGTGTAAAATGTACAAGCCATTATTACAGATATTCAATGGTCACAATTTGGAATCTCGATTTATTCCACAAAACCTATTCCTTTGACTGTGGTGTCTGTAATAACCTGCCGTGGTATGAATGTATGTATATACTCTACAGACATATAAACATCTAATAATTTTCATGTGCACTATCTAATAATTTGCATGTGTACTACGATAGGAAGAATCGAATTTAATAAATCATGAAAATTTTTACTGGAGTAACAAGAAAACATGGAATAGTTTTTTACTGACGAGTAAATCAAGAATAATTTGAAGGAGCGGTACGACAAAACTTAATCATAACCGATGCGTTTTTTTATTGAATTTCATTACTTGTAGCGCGTTGGGATCCCAGTACTGGCATCGTTAAATTGTGAATTATTTCACGTGCAGGCTGTGGTCTCTACATGCTGTGGTGCTCAAATGTGCTGTGCTGCGTGCGAGTGAACATGGTGCGCGTGTAGCGTTACGAGCAGTCCACAGCACTCGGTCTGCTTAATGGCAGGTGGCGTGCAGTGGTGCGATGTGATGTCTACCAGAGTTCCGTACAAGTTTTGCTGCACAAAAAAGTACAGCGCCTCCTCAGAATATCGGGGGACGAGTCGGGGATGGGGTTTCCTGGTATATACTTTTTCTTAGCAAAACCCAAAAATTTCCATTTATCCCATTTACAGCTTCCCACGTTCGTTGCAGGAGGATCGATAAAGCCCACCATTGAAACCACCGAAAAACGACGAGCCAAATTCTAGTGACGCACAATCCAATGCGACAGCAATGAATTTTCACCTACGGGACAAAACTGGAACTGCACTGGTGCGGACGTTTCCGAGCAGCTTGGAGATGCAGTTAACATTTCCCCTGGACGCCGGTCAGTTTTGAGGTTCGGGAGTGCGATTTGAATTAATTTTCAATATTTAGGGGGTCTGCCGCTTCGTACGTGTTCATGTGTGGGATGCGTTGTATCCGCCGACGTTATCTCGAGGATGCCCGGCACGGCACGTATCGGCGTGAGCGGTGTGGGGGGGGAGCAGGCTGCGCATGAGGCGATGATGTGGCACTGGCGATGGTTCAGATGGCCAAGCCGAAGACGGACACGATGCAGTACATGGACTTGTTCTCCCATCGCACCGTGCAGCTTCCTGTGGGGGGAGGGGGACGGACACCAGGGCGGTCGTACGCGTCATTGGCAGAACGCAAGGGAGGGGTTTCTTTCTATACGCGGTTGCTGAGCGCAGGCTCGCAGGTCCAAAAGATCAAGCATCCAGAAGCGAACAGCACGATCAAAGTTGTAACAGATAAAGAGTGCATGCAACGCGCTTCTTGAATTGAGCAGGTTTATTGATGATGACGAAGCAGTTGTGACCTGCAGTGTGTGGGTTAAAGAGTGTGGATGAAAGAAAACAGTCTGGTTTTGTTCAGGTCAGACATAACAGTGAATCTACCAATCATGTTAAAACGAATTTGATGCAGGCCAACATTTATTTGTTAAGAGCCACACCCTGCCGATGAGACTCAAAAGTCAAAGCCAGTTGATGATTTGCATCGTTTAGACAAACGCTGTTATAAAACACGAGGCTAGAATGGCCAATGGTCGGTGAACTAAATGTTTGTTTGAGCGATGAAATGGACACACCTCTCTTATAAGGAAAATATTTTGTGTAGAAGGCAGGCTAACTGCTTGAGGATGGGAGCAGAGGTAAGTCAAAATGTAGTACATTGGTATTCGTGCCATTCTTATAGACTATCATGAAGGCATGATGTCTCACAGACAGTCTGCAGGAGTTGTATGACAGGGAGCAATGTTGCTCTTTGTAATCCCAATTAAGTAATCTGCAGGTAATTTTTCAAGTTCGAACCATGACGCCAACACACAATGGCCTTGCTCTATTCCACAACGCCATGGAATATTTAAAGCACATGCGAAGCAGACCACGCGTAATATTTTATGGATAATAGACTTGAACGATAGTCTTGTGTAGGATGAGAGACTGCGTGTTTGCGGGCATGTGTGCACGTGTGTGTATCCACACGTGTGTGTGTGCGCACACGTGTGTGTGCGCACGTGTGTGTAGGGGTTAGCACGCTGCGCTACGAGCCCGGCGACCCGAGTTGATTCCCAAAATCAGGTCGCCGGGTTTCAAACGATCTGAAACGGTCCTGGGACTCCCCTAGGTCGACTCAGCCTCAAATGTGTACCTGGTGCGGTGTTTAAACATCCCTACTGGGGAGACAAAGATGGCTCGGCATGGTGCCCGCCCACCGCCTCGTGTGCCGTTCCGGCATTCATTGGTGCTCGCTAAGAGCACTTGCCCCTACAGTCTGTTAAGGCTATACGGGTGATCTTTGCATCTGCGTATCTGCGAGCGCCTGTACGCATGCGTGTGTGTGTGTGCTCACCGTCCGTGCTGTTATCCCAGAAGCAGGAGCTAGCCGTGTGAAGCCCCGCGCCATTCTTCTGCATGATCACGCACGTCACTGTTGGCACAGACCACCACCCCCCTCGGAGCTCAGCACAATTCACTCGCCATTACCAATTAACAACACGATCATTTGCGTCGTTGTGGAGAATCCAAGTAACAATAAATAAGCATGCCAGGACGCATCCTTCCCATGTCCATCAGTCACACAGCCTTTTGGGAGTGCATAATTTTAGCAGAAATGGTTCACAAGACAAGCAGCCTCTGGACTGGTTTTGACATTCATTTTCTCACGAGGGGTCAGGCTTGCTTGAACCAATGCTGCTGAACTGCCAGATGCTGCTATTTCATTGAGACTTCCTGCATAATGGGCATATATATTGAAATGTATCTTAAATTCACAATATATGCATTGAATCGTTAATATGACAGTTCTTTATTCATGACCAATACAAATGATACACAAGCATATATGCGATATTTACAGAACAGAGCATATTTAAATGTTCTGATTATTACTACGACTGTTTAGTCAGGAAAGCCTCAGTCTTAAAACTTTTTCAGAATAATCCTACCAAGATGTTGCCATGTGTAATTCGAAATTAGTCATTTGCATAATGGTTTTTGGGTTCTAACCGGGTAAATATAAATGTGTGTCATAAACCCACCTCCACTCGACACAGTCAATTAGTAAGGTTTGTCACGTGAACAAACCATGCGAATTAGTCACTACAGCACACCGGTTCTTTGGAAAGTAACTAATTGGCATGTTTTATTTACGTGACAAACCTTACTAATTGGCAGTGTCAGGTGGTGGTGGGTTTACGACACGTTTATATTTACGCAATACAACCCAAAAACCTTTACTATGAATAATGTTCGTTGAGAAAGCCTACGTGTTTAATTTCGTAATTTGCAGATTATTTTTCAGCATTGGTATGTTTGGCCAACACCAGTTACATTGTGTGGGTGTTTTTTTTTAGTTCAGTATAAACTCAGCATTTGAAACCTGCAGCCTTTGTAGAATGTGAACACACAGGGAGGCCTGTCACAGCCACCCGTGAGTGACACCCACCGATGTACTTGAAGGGCTTGTTGAGCTTGGCCAGCTGGTTGAGGCACTGCTCCACCACGGTGGACGTCCACTGGTTCACCTTGTTATGCTGATAGGCGTTACCTCCAATGGCACTCTCCACCGACTTGGGATACAGAGGATCAGAAACAATCACTTGCGTGCCCTCTCGCCATGGCGCGTTCCCAGCGACGGCAGGCTCGTAATGCAGGCTCATTCCTAACCACCGCGTGTGTGTTCCTCGCCATGGTAAGCTCCACAGCCGAGGGGGTGTTGGCAACTCGATGCTTGTCCCCCACACTGTGCTCCCAAACGAGCTACGTTCCTCCTAGTCACAGCTGGGTCCTCAATGCTGCACATTCCCAGCCACAGCGCGCTGCGAGCCACAGCACGTTCCCAAACAAAGTGTGCTTCTAACCTTTACACCTTTCTAACCACCGCAGATCCTAACTAATACATGTTCCTAGAGCCATGAAGGCAGAAGGCAGTGATTCATGATCACGTAAACTTTGCAACATTCACATACTTTATAAACCTAATGAGTAAATTACTGAAGTGGGAAAGATGTCATTGTGGAACGATTCACTCTTATATTAACAGGTGAATCAGATCAACCCCCATTGCTCACGGTCCCACAAAGCACCAACCCATCCAGCACCCGCCGCACACCGACTGATCTCATCGCTGCATCTCCGCGCCAAGCGGACTCTCTCAGGCTGCCACTCATTAGTGTTGACGACCATCAGCCATAATCAATTTGAGCGATAACGGGTGAATCTTAGCAGCCCTTATGAAGACGTCATAGTAGGAATGAGTGTGGCCTTACGAGAGAGGCGAGATGCTTTAGACCGTTTCACACCCCCCCCCCCCCCATGCCACGTGCGTCCCAAGTCAGTCGGAGCTTCTCACCTCCTTGATGATATTGCTGACCTCGTCCACAACAAATGCAGCCTGGTGGTTAAAGTGAAAAAAAAAACAAATTACGTGTTTTAGTAAAGTATTTACACCAATTGCCAAACGATACAACAAAGTCAAAGTGATTTCCCAAGTCCAAGTTCTGCAGAAATTAGCATCGAGACCGTGCTCATCTCTGCTGTTCACAGCCCTGATCCGCTGGTGAATATTCCACATTCCCATGGTGGGGGTTTAGTCTCCATAGGATGCAACCACAGCTGATTTCCGCACACAGTACAGAAGGTCCTGGGGGGTTGACTCGTTAAAAGGGCGGCGACGGACTCGGCAAAGGTGGCGATTGCACCCCAATGCTCGCACCTCAGCCCGTTTGTTTACAAGGTCATGGTTCGAATCCAGTGGCTGCCCTGATTATTACGGTGGGAGTAATGACCATGATACGACGAGTATGACTACAGCGCACCGTCCACTTCACAGTGGACTATCGCATCCCCTGACGTCATTTGCAAGAGCAGGCCACCGTGTCCTTGGTCCAAAATTAACCCACAAATGACACCGACACGGATGACTGTGGGTTCCGTAACTTCTGCAGCCACTGGATAAGCAGCGGGGGGAGACGTTCTGTGAGAATGCAGCAAAATCAATCCGACTCGTTCACCTCGTATCAAGCAGCACAATTATCGCTTAAATTACTCAATTATAATAACTAATGGATTCAAAACCTGAAAAATACTGGCTTATAATTGCTAAAATTAAGCATTCTTATCAATCACGAGACTGAGGTCAGAACCACTGCATGGATCCACACCAACCACACTGCAGGGAGTAGTCACACGTCCCCTGCTTCACAAGTGACCCCATTCAACAACGCGCGACTTAGCGCCGGTCGCCACGGCAACTCGTAGTACACACAGCGCCGGCTGGTGGGGAAGCAATCAGCCATCATCTATCCACTGCTGGATAAAGGCGTCCCCAAGCCGCTCTCTCACAGCACCCGCACACAAGCTGTTGCGTATCGCTCCATCCAAAGAAACCTCAGGCGTCCATCCAATCGCCTTTTAAATATCCCTAGAACAAGGACTGGAATAGGTGACAAAGCCGTTGCAGCACCAACATGTTGGAACAACGGCCTTGTTTTACTCCCTCTCAACGTCGAACATCTTCCTTTAAAAAATATCCTGAAGCAGAAGATTAGTGCTGGATAGAATCACATTTGCAAATGTGATTTGTAACGTTGACCATTACCTGTGTAGCGGTAGTTAATGTTATATTCTATTGAGGGACTCCTGCTGTGTGGTGGCGTTGTCTCGGTGTGGTCTGGGACTATTTTGTCGTTTTTTTGCCGCCTTGCCCAGTCTTGATAAATGGGACAAATATCATTAATTTGTGTTTTATTTATTCATATTTAGCGACTTGCATACCATTCTCTCTATACTCCACTCCTATCGTCTTTGGTATCGTTTGTTGTTGTTGTAGCTTGCCGACCCCCCACCCACCCCGTGACCACACTGGACAGCTGTTTAAAAAAGAGCTTCATAGCTCATCGGATTCCTCCTCCTGCGGTCTAAATCAAGATTGCGGATTGTCGGGGCGGACGTCCTCTCGGACGCGTTCCTTCCTGCGGCTGCCAAACCACCGAGTCTCGTCATGGGACCTTGATACATGGGACAAACGCATTTAATAATAATAACAGTCACATGCAGTAACAACCCGAGTCTTGAGAACGCTTCACCAAGTTGGGGGTCACGAGTGTATTTTGTTCTCAATCAAGAGAGCAGGACAGGCGAGTTTTCACGAGTGAGGTCGTTCTTCCCGCACTGGATCCGGTTTGTTTGGACAATTTATATTTAAAAAAGTCCACGCCTCTGTACGGGAGGAATCCAGCGCAAACCACCACCAAGCATTGGATTGGAGACTGTCACAGCCGGTTCCTCAACTCATTCGCTGTGCTGCCATCTCCCGGCCGCACGGCAGCGCAATGGGAGGATTCGCAGGTTTGCGAGCCGCCACCACCGCCACACCCGGTACGCACAGCCAGCCGGTGAACACCCGGCAGCCGGGGGCCTCTGCCCACCACCACTACCATGACCACTACCACCACAACCATAAATCACCACTGCCATCACCACTACCACCACAACTGCCACCACTACCATCACCATCCACCACTACCCCATCACCACTACCACCACACCACTACCACCACTCCATCACCACTGTCACCACACCATCCACCACTGCCACCACACCACTACCACCACACCATCACCACTGTCACCACCCCATCCACCACTGCCACCACACCATCCACCACCACTACCACACCACTGCTACCACACCATCCACCACCACCACCACCATCCACCACCACACCATCCACCACTACCACCACAATCATTACCCTCGCCGCCGGCACCACAACGAAATAACCAAGATCACCAGCAGCACTCCAAGGGCAACCATAACTCCGCCACACACAAATTATCACAACACCACCACCACCACGACAATAGCCACCACGACAACCGCTACACAATAACCAAACAAAATACCATCAACATTTTATTTGAAGCTTTCGTGACTGCAGAAATCCATAACTCTTTGGTTCTTTCGGTAAAGTCACGTGGGTAGAAAATAAATCACGACATTTTTTTATTGCTGTGGTTTTCCCACCTGATGATGATTGCTTGTGTTGCAATCGAAACGTCGTGATACATTTTATTTTATACCTACGTGACTTTACCGAAAGAGTAAAATACCATCACCCTCACCACCGCCACTGCAGTAACCGCCACCATGACAACCACAACACCAACAAGCATCACCACCACGATAACCACCACGATAACTACACCAACCATCGCGATAACCACACCAACCACCACGAGCACCACACCAACCACCACGAGCACCATCGCCACTACAACGGCAACAAATCACGACAGCGGCGACACGACCGCCGCCACCGCCGCCACCGCCGTGGGACCCGGCGGGCGATCAGGGCCCGGCACCGCAAGCCACACAACCACCGCCGCCACCGCCGCCTCGACTACACAGCCATCGCGAGCACCTCCTCTCCCGATTGAAAGTCGTCCATTGCGAGAGGACGAGAGACTTGGGGTGGACGAGAGGCTCGGGGTGGACACGGGGTGGACGCGAGGAGTCGAAGCGGGACCCCGGGAGGCTCGACTTGGCTGGGTGCAGGCCTCCGTCGTTATCGCCGTTGCGGTGACGTCACTCGGAATTCGTGGGTAGTCATCCGGTTTACGGGTGACGTCATAACACCGGGCTGTGCGCGTGACGTCAACGCGCCGTGACGTACGGTCAACGTTGTGGTACTGGGTTGCACGGATGACGTCATTGCGCCGGGTTGCACGGGTGACGTCATTGGGGCGAGTTGGAGTGTTGACGACATCGATGCTGCGCGCCACTCCCGGAAAATTGCGTCAGGACGACGTCCACCAAGCAATTTAGTGCTGACGTCATGTGGACAGGGAAGTAGCAGCGCCACCTTAGCCGAGGGGAAATAAAATACTGAGCCCTTGTACGGCAAATGCACAATCACGTTCTTCAATAGTCTCCGAAATACCTTGTGGCTAAACGTAAATATGTTTTTTTTTTTTTTACAGTGAACATGCGAGTCCTAGACAGGCCGTAAGACGAGAGGCGTGGCAGTGGGTATTGGGTTATGATGGCATCACGCCCACTGCACCAGCCAATCAGCTGCCAAGACGTGAGCCCCATGCAACATGGCCGCCGTGAAGAGTCTCCCTCATGCAACATGGCAGCCGTGAAGTCACCCCCATGCAACATGGCAGCCGTGAAGTCACCCCCATGCAACATGGCCGCTGTGACGTAATGGCCCTACAAGTATCATCATGGGTGAGATCGCGTAAATATAAATGTGTCGTTAAACCCGCCACCACCCGACTCAGCCAATTAGTAAGGATTGTCAGGTAAATTTCGATTTAAAGCTTTCGTGACTGCAGGGATTCATCTTCTTGGTTCTTTCGGTAAAGTCACGTAGAAGGGAAGTAATAAAATAATAAAAATAAAACATAATAAAAAAAAATATTTTTGGTTTTATTTTTATTATTTTATTACTTCCCTTCTACGTGACTTTACCGAAAGAACCAAGAAGATGATTGTCAGGTAACAGAACGTGCCAAGTTGTTACTAGTACAGCACACCGGTGTGTTGGAGAGCAAATCCAGACATGCGTGTAGATTATTTAGATGCTTTGCTGATATAAATGTCCACATGATAAGCCACTTCGTCGAGTGGTCATTTGTGGCCAGGTCGCTTCAGAAAAAATAAGTGAATAGCTCATATTCGAGGTTTTTGGGTTGGTGTTAAACCCGCCACCACCCAACACAGCCAATTAGTAAGATTTGTCACGTAAACAGAACATGCCAATTCGTTTCTGGTACAGCACACCGGCTGCGTGTTGGAGAGCAAACCCACAACATTTACAACTCGAGTAGCGTGACGTCTCGTCAGTATTTACAACCAGCATCATCAGGCGACAGCCAGAGTTGTGGCGAAATCCTCCTGTTTCGGTCTTAAATAGAGGGATACATGTGATGGCGTCATCTTATTGGTTCTTTCGGTAAAGTTACGTAGAAGGGAAATAATAAAATAATAAAACATAATAAAATAACATTTCTCACGACATTTCGGCCACAACACAAGCAGCCGTCCTCAGGTGAAGAAACAGAGCTGTCGGAAAGACAGCTTCCCAATGAACACCGCCAAGCTTGGCAGCGTATATTTAAGCTGGGTCGGGGGGTGATGGCGTCACTTCTTAATATCCAACTACTAATGTATGTATGTATGTTGAACTTCTTTCGCACCGTACGTAACCAGCTGAGCTAATCCGGAGATGCGGGGACACCAAACTAAACACAAAAAACTGTTCTAAAGAAATTAGTTTTCAACCTATAGATTTAAAAGTGCGGAGCTCCCAGTGGCTTCCAAATATGGGAAGGAAGAGCGTTCCAGACGGCCGCAGAAGCGCATCTGAAAGCGCCACGCGATGCGGTGACCGCCGCCTGTGTTCGGTGGCCAGAAGCCGCCGCTGCGTGGGATGACTGGAGTTTGCGTGATGATGGTTTATGCTCCTTGACGAGAACAGCAAGGAAATGTACTATACAGCACTAGACAGTACATTTCAATACAGCCATACCCCGGTTTACGTCTCCCCCTTTTAACGTCGTTTCACAAATACGTCGTCACTTTATTAACACCACTACGGTACCTGGCTGAGGTGTGGACTCGAGTCATGTGACTTGGACTCGAGTCAGACTCGAGTCATGAATTTGATGACTTCAGACTCGACTTGGACTTGCATAACAATGACTTTGTCCCACCTCTGAGGTGTGGACTCGAGTCATGTGACTTGGACTCGAGTCAGACTCGAGTCATGAATTTGATGACTTCAGACTCGACTTGGACTTGCATAACAATGACTTTGTCCCACCTCTGGTACCTGGTTTGCGTCGCCTCAACCCACACTTACGTCGGTGACAGCATCATCGTCCGTCCTTTCTCGTTATCCGTCGCCTCCACCACCGACCCTGTAAATCGCTCTGATGGACGTCGTTTCGGTAATCATCGTCGCACCTTTCAGGAATGCATCCCCGACGTATACCGGGGTATTATTTCACTACGCCACCTTCAATCCTAATTTCGACTCCACCTCACAAACATCTCTTATAGGGGTCACTAAACTATTAAAAAGTCAACACAAACGTCACTTAAACCGCCATTGTCCTTGTTATAACGTACATTGAATAGCAACATCAAACTATTTATTGACCTTTTCTTCTCTCTGGAATACATTTAGTATTTTTTGGCTATTTTTGAAAGCCAAAATAGTGACATCTAGCGACCTCTCGAGGCATATAATGTGTGCGCTTTGCGGATGGTTGGCAATACTGCCCCTGATCTGCACGGCGAGCCAGAGCCATTGCCCGGTGGCGACAAGGGCATTCACGAATAGCGGGCACGATCTTAACTACTTGCAATGGTAAGTGGGCTTCGGAAGGACACTTCCCTGGAAGGGATGATGATGGCTAGATGGTTGTTGAGACTGATGATAGTGAAGGAGGAAATGCGTGCCCAAGAGGAGTTGGGGCGTTAAGTTCTGCTCGTGTCCTGGAACCACCATGGATCGTTGTATCATGTGACCGTAAGGAGATGGCATTGCTATGGCTTGGGCAGGCCATCATACAGCAGTGGAGAGATCGTGAATGATGTTGATATGAATAAAAAAAATCGAATCCTAGAAATGAATTAGAATTAACTTTCATCTTGAGAATCAATAGAAAACAAAAACAAATGGATGTATCATTACACCGGTATAACACCCATTGAAAGGGTAATCGCATATTTCACTTTTATTGGCCATTGGTACTGTCGGGATGTAGATAGAGTCTCTATGGCGTGTACGCCACCTAGGTTCAGGAGCAGGTATCTGCGTGGTCCCGTTGACGGGAGAGAGAGGGCATGTGAACGGCACGGGGTAGCAAGGGGGCCCGACAAGGGCGCTTGAGGGACACGTGACGCTGGCCCCAGTTCCTTCGGGAGAGATCGAGAAGGGTTCGTGGCCGGAGGCGGATCGAGGCCACGCTCGACAGGAGAAGAGGGACGGGGGAGCGATCGCGGCTGTCTCGAGGAGTGAACTCACCGTGTACGTCTCTTCGGTCTTCGGTCGTCAGTCTTAGATTGTACTTTCAGGCTCCGTGGGTCAGGAAGAAGTTACCCTCTTGACCTGGTTACTTAGTGACTCGATTGGGGTCTAGTTAACCCGTTGTAACGTTAAAGTAGTCGCCCTGTTGGAGCCGTATAATAAACGTGGTGCCTCCAGATTAAAGTTTGTGTCTGCGTGGAACCCACTACAGTACAAGTAGAGATGCCAACTTCGATTTCTGCAATGACCGGTCCTCTCTTTTGGCCTCGGGTTTTGCTTTTTAAAAAAGTACAACTGCGTACCAGCCGGTGGAATATTTTCATCCCCTCACTTGGACAGTGAGCACGTGAATTAGCGCCCCTGGTTTATTGCGCGCACTTCAATCTGGCACTCGATGCTTTACAAATAATGCAGAGCCACACCACACAACAAAGTGAGACATCATGCGGGCAAAGTACACGAAAGGAGATGCCGTGTGACTTCACGCATTACGAAGCGCACCAAAAATGCAACGATGCGCACGGATTTAGAGATAATGCTGGGATTTCACAGCCTCAAATGTCGTACTGAATGTATCTGTTAATTTAAATCATATTTAAGTCAGTAGTTTAAAGATATTTTCATCGTTAAATGAAGGCCTTTGAACATGTTTTGGCGTGGTTTATTTACGAAGCTATGGCTGCAACTTTTCGATGCAATGAAAAGGGGTTTTTATTTTTTACTGTGCAAATTAATGTCTCTGTTCCACTATCATGCTCTTCATACCACAAACCCTGCATGATGCTCAACTAATTACACTCAACCCCTTCATTGTATACAGTATATTTTAAACACAGTTGAGCACATGCCCATAGGACCAATGAGTGCAGTAGCCAGAAACTAACGGCCCTATACAAGAGTATGTAACACGTCCCCTGAAATGAGAAATATTATTAAGAGTGCGGGAAAAGAGACGATGATGGGATAGATAGTCAAAGTGGAGCAGTGTTAGGGACGAAGCGAACAAATAAGATATGTCACGTGAATATTTCCTGGCCACACGGTAGCAGGAGAGAGGAGTCTGCTGCGATTTACCAGGCGTGAGAATTGTGTGGTCACGCAAACCCCGATGGTCAGGATGCCGTTTCATCCCCAGGTCCTATAGAGGATAACCTGGGCAGATCAGAGAGAATGAAAGATCAGAGAAAGTGAAGATTCGGACAAGGAGACGGAATAAGTGAGGTTGAAAACAGAGCGACAGGGAGTGATGCTGGGAACGCCACAGGTGCGAGTGTCGAACGCGGTTTATTTCCCAGCAACAATCGCTTCCTTCTCTGTGGATATAATCCGCCATGGCAATGCTCTACTGTGTTTTTTCTGGAAGACTTTGCTGTTTTTTCCTGGATTTTTCTGTTTCTTGTTCATGTTTTTGTTTTGTTGCAGTTGCACCCGAGTCAAGAACCGCATGGCTCACAGGGTTATACCTCATAAATTAAACGTAAACTGAAACAAAGTCCCATCACAAGGGAGAAACACAAACAAATAGACAACCATATATAACACGTAGGCTTTCGCGACCAATATTATT